CTCCCAGTGTAACCAGAGGCAAGAAGAGTGAATAGGAGAGATGGGGGGGTCTGCACTGATGGGCTGCTGATGCTAAGAAGGTCATCAGTCTGTGGTACTGGTATGGAAAGGAGATGGGTGAGGCACTGAATTGTAGTCGCAGTATGGGAGAGCCAAGTTTATGACAGCAGTCACACCTTTCTCGTGCTTGTGCAAACCTGCTTTTGAAGTCCAAAACCATTTCAACATTTTATAATCATCAATCTCCTGACATGAATCCAGTTGCGTGCAAACTGCTAAACACGTGAAACAGTAAATCAAAAGGGCAAAAGTGTCATTGCCAAGTGCTATATTTGAGTAGGTGGATTGAAGCCTCAAAAGCTTTCAAACCACCCAACTCGCTCTTGCATGGATTTCTTTCCACCTTACAACATGCTGATGGCAATGCTTCTCCCCTTCTTGTGCTGCTTGAGTACTGCTGCTGCTGGGAAGTTGCTGGTGGTCCCGATGGACGGCAGTCACTGGCTCAGTATGAAGGAAGTGCTGACTGTACTGAGCAGAAAAGGGCATGAAATAGTTGTTGTAGCACCAGACAGCAATATCCTCATAGATTCTTCAGGGACTTTCACGACGAAGACGTATCCTGTACCATACAAGAAGGAAGAGATAGAAGAGCTTTTGCATACTTTTGTCATGAACGGTTTCAATGAACGGCCTTTTCTTACCAGATTTTTGGATACTTGGGAACATTTTAGAAAGTCTTCTGCTATATTTCAAGCTGCCTGCAGTTCCTTACTGTACAAAAAAGAGCTGATGAAATTTCTGGAAGAAAGCAAATTTGATGCAGTCTTTACAGATCCTCTGACACCCTGTGGACAAATAGTTGCTCTGCATTTGTCTATTCCTAGTGTTTTCTTCTTGCGGGGTGTTCCATGTTCTATAGACACTTATGCTGCCCAGAGCCCAAGCCCACTGTCCTATGTCCCACGATGGTTCTCATTCAGTACAGATCATATGACATTTCCTCAGAGAGTGAAGAACGTACTGATAGGCATTTCAGAGTATTTTACCTGCAGCATTATCTTTTCACAATTTGAAAGACTGGCCTCAGACTTTCTCCAAAAGCCTATGACATTGACACAGCTTCTAAGTCACGGATCTATTTGGCTGAAGAGAACTGACTTTGCCTTTGACTATCCCACGCCTGTGATGCCCAGTATGGTTTTCATTGGAGGCATAAACTGTGGAAGGAAGAAGCTGTTACGTCAGGTTAGTGAGTGACTGGGAAATGTTCTGGCAGTCATATGCTTGCATGGTCTGTGCCAGATCTAAAGGCATTTGATATAGACATTACTTACCTACAGGTGGTATTTAGAGTAACTGTTTCTGTATCACAATGCATGTGAGTAACAGTAGTGTCATTGACCAGCAGAAAGCATGATTCCATCTTCTTTCCGACCTGCCCAGCACAGGGATTTTGTTCTCTAAGGAATGCTATGCTATATTTAATTCCAGCTGGTCAGGTACACAAACTTCACCTGGTCCAGGAATTAATGCATAAAAGTGCAGGTGGATTTAACAGTTCTTCCAAAAATTCTTTGCCCCATGAGACAATAGTGTATTTCTTCAAGAGCACTAGCTGTTTATCCAGTCAGAAAAGTAACTCACTGGGTTAAGTGCAATAGCATTATTTGCTCTTTTCTGTAACAGTGGTGTTGTGCTTGGTTTGAGTTGAAAGGCTAATTATTATGGGGAAAGTTACAGTCTAGCAACAGTTTCCATCACAAAAACTAGGCAGCTGCATGCTCAGCTGTCCTTTTATAAGACATCCAGTTCAGATAGAAAATGTTTTCCTGTAAATATTGTGGGGTCTTTAATGCTGATTACCTCTTGCATGTGTGTGATGCATGTTGACTTTCTGGTGTTCACGATGTACTACATTAGCTTCATGATGTACTACATTAGCTTGTAGCTACATGTGATGTGTCTCAGCTTCTTGCTTGCTTGTGATAAGTACAACAGTCTCATGCTGTGAAGGCAGCCATTAAGTAGAAAAGGATAGATGGGAGGAGATAGCACTCCTCAGCAGCTGGTGAATCTCCAGTTAATGGCATCCAGCAGTTCCAGCAGCAAATCACGTTGTTTCTTGAAAGAGATAAAAGTTTTGTCCTATGCAAATGCCCCTTACAAAGAAACAGGCATTTCTCTGTTCTTCCCTTGAACGTTTTTCACTTCTCTGTGTCATACATACTGTATGTATTCCTCCTGCCTGTCAGCTCTTCTATTCTTCCTGTAAATGCATATGCCTTTGTGATTATGAATTAAGGATGCTTTATAGTAAAACAGATTTGCATTTTACAAGCTTGCACACCTTCCCTAGATCCAACCTTATCTGCCCTCAGGCTGTGCTTAATTCCTCCCATTACTTTACCTGACGCTGCCCATTGTTAGTACTGTTTACTTCAGCTGAGCAGCTATTGCTCAGGTCTTGCTTACTCACAGAAATGTCTTTCAAATTACAATAAACCCTCTCCATGGCCACTTCTATTGGGGTAGTACTTTTTTTTCCCTGTTCTGTTCATCTGTCCTGTTTAAAGGCTGCTTCAGGGGCAAAACCAGACAGACCCTCCGGGAAAGCAACGGGACCAGTTTGCCTGCACGCAGTTCCACTTTAAATTTCGACTCTCCTCTAAAACCAGAGCTCACTTTCACCCTTATCTTGCAAGGGTTTCTCTGCAGAGAAAGTCTTATACTTCCACAGCATGGTTTCCTTATTTTCTTATACATGTACATAGTTTTTTTTTTCAGTGAATGATTTGTTACACAGCATTATTAGTGCAGTACTTGCTGAAAAAAATGTTATTCCCTGCAGTCCCACTATTCATTCAGTGCAAATGGATGGGCATTATCCAGTTTAGCTATGAATCAGATGACTGCTAGAGAGTTTGGCTGAACTTTAAAACCTCCAGTTTGTCCATATCAGTGATTATACGTTCACCACAAAGCAAATAAGCCTAAAGGTCATCACAAAAAACACAGCTCAGTTAGCTTAAAAGCCCAGAGGTGCCTGTGTTCATTAGAACACCACTTCCACATTTCTGCAGGAATGGCCCTGCTGCTTCCTTCTCATCCACAAGTCTCAGTGTCGCTGCTTCTGCTGCTGTCCGTGCTCAGCTTGGCTGCAGGTGGGAAGCTGCTGGTGGTGCCTGTAGGTGGGAGCCATTGGCTCAGCATGCGGGAACTGTTAGTTGAACTCAGGCAGAAAGGACATGAAATAGTCATCGTTTCACCTGAATTCAATCTCCATGTAAAGCCATCAGACAATTTTACAATGAAGCTCTACCAAGTCCCCGTACCAGAGGAAGAGACAAACAGAGTTTTACAAGCATTTTTAAAGGAGGCATTTGAAGAAGGATCATTCCTGGAAAGATTTCATGCAGTACGAGAAAGATTGAGAACACTCTTTGATTTAGGCTTCATAACCTGTAAAGAGTTATTGAAC